AACATCCCGACCACGAAACCCAGGCCCCAAAGCAAAAGACCCCCGGCTCTTCGCGCCGCGGTAAACAATACAAGTGCGGCAACTGCCACGAGCTGGGCCACAACCAAAAGACATGCCCGCGCCGCGCCACTCACGGTAACGAAACGCCTTCTATCCAACCCGCCTTGGGCGTCGACGCCGCAGAGATCTTCGCCGGAAATGTCGCTCCGGCCCTGCAGATGCCCAATGGCCATCACTTCATCACTCGCATCCAACCGTGCAAGCTCGATGCCGCGTTAGAGGCTGCCAACAAGCGCGTCATCGCCGCCGACAAGCAGGTCGCTACCGCAGGCACGGAGCAGGACTTTGACGACGCCACCTCCGCGCTAGACTCGGCCGTACGTCATTTGGAGAAGGTTGCCCAATGTGCCCAACGCTGCGCAATCGTCGCACATAGCCTCTCCGGCGGAGGATGGGATCATGCCGAGCGCGACGCAAAACGCATGAGACTGGACACGGGCACGCACACCCCCGGGCAGCTCACGCCCACAGCTATGGCGCTTAACGACGCGCAGCCTGTCGTCGCGCAAGAGGCCGTTGACAATCCCGAGGAAGAGGGAGAGACGAAGGACGAGCCGCTTGACTAGATCCATGCCAAGCGCGCCTCCCTTTTCACGTCATTCGGGCCGCCGTGTCACTCTCGCCTCGTGTATACTGGGTTTTTTTTTTTTGTTTTTCGTGATACGCGTGTGCGACGCTCGCCTACCCTCCCACTATTCTCCCCCTTTCTCCAGCACTTTTAATATACAAATCGCACATCTTGACATACACAGTGAGACCCGCATGATTGCGTTGTAAATGATTTTGGCCCACGGCGGCTTTCGCGAACGCTCGTCCGGGTGGAGGCGCACTGCCGGCCCCCGCCGTAACCAATTACTCTCTTTGCATAACTCAAATTCTCCCGAAACATATCCAAATTATGTCCCATGGCCTCCCTTTCCTCGTTCTCTTGTTCACCCCGCGCCTTGGAGGCCATGTTCTCATGTTCTCATAGCCACTCACAAAGCCGCAATCACAGTCCAACATGCGTGGCCGCACTGGCGAATGCCTCGACTCTTGCCACGCTGACGCCCAGTGTTCACGCATAACCCACGAACCACTCCCCACATGCCACCTCGCACTCCCTACTCCCCACTCCCTACTCCTCACTCCCTACTCCCCACTCCCTACTCCCCACTCCCTACTCCCCACTCCTCACTTTCCGATCCCCACTTCCCCCTCCCCTCACTTACATGTGTTGCTCCCCACCCTCCACCGCGCCCGAAGAAGGACACCCTAGTAGAATCTTCACTTTTTCCACAGGGGCCTCGTTCACCACCTCGGTACACGTGTGTTGCCCGTGACCTGAAAGGTGATCAACCGTCCACGTGCCGTACGTGTCGGCCGGATCCCGGATCCTTCCCGCTACCATCCACCCGCAACAAGCCAAGTGTCGCACCGTTCCTTCAGCTGCGGCACCGGCCGCTCAGCCGTCAGTTGCTTCCCGCCGTCGGTCCGCGTATCTCGCGCTGTGAAAGCTCCGTCCAATGCGCACCCCCCAACGCGCCTACCAATCTCGTCGCACCCGCACTTTCCAACCCACACCTCGTGCTGTACTTATTCGCGGCCGGCGTCCGTCCAGCTGCCGAGAACATTGCTACCCCCATTGCACCTACCCCCATTGCACCTACCCCCCGCCCCCTCACAAATTCCCCACCTAACCAACACACAAACCCCCCAAAACCCAACAACCC